CAACATTGAACGTTGAAAGCACATTGGAAATGATGTTCCTCGCTTGTTCACAAAGTTTCCAAAGGATTGATACTCGCGAATGTAACGAACAGTTTATTGAACAGAAATGAAATTCAAAGTGAAACAAAATTTCTTAATGGCCCATCGCGTTGAGAATTGAGAAACTTAAATCCTATCAATCGACTACCTAATAATCACGCAACATTCCTATCCTATCTGGAAGAGAAGAAAACACGAAGTAAAAGTAGAAGTGAAAGAAAGAACGAGAGAGTGTGAGGAAGGGGTTTGCCAGCAGGTGAGGGAGAGATCATGCACACCATGTCACAGACATGTGTCGCAGAAGCAGCAGTTCTCAAAACTTTCGACGCGTTTTTCCGCGCTGCACCGGGCTCGCAGAAATAGCCACGCGACGCGGCGGATACTTCGCCGCCAGGCAGAAAATACGCCGACGGAAGCTCGAACACGCGAGCGCCGGTAAACATCCGGCGGAAGGAAAACTCGCGCGAGCCTCGATGAAATTGAACGAGGCGAATGAGAGAAAGAGGGGTCTCGTCTCTCCTCTCGCGGTCGATCCCGTACGCTAACGAGTGAAAACTAGGTGAAAGTAACGAGAGCCGAGGCATGGCTCTCCTTATGTTCAATACGAGAGAGGCTCATCCCTCGCGCGAGCTAGCGAATCTACGATCGAATCTATGGTGGCAAGATTGAGCGGGCAATAATTGCCATTATTGTTGTCGCAAGCACCGAGGTTTTTAACCCTTTGCAGTCGAACTCGACATAGTTTCTAGACATTTAAGAATTATAATTATTTTCATTATTATCTGCACGCCAACGAGCGATTGTCGGATTTATGAGATCACTGTACATCGTTCTACAGTTTTTAAAATTTGTATATTTTTATTGCAAGATGAATTTTTTTTTTCACTTCTTTCGTAGTTATTTCGAACGATTATTAACATCCGCGAATCTGTATGCGACTTTTGTCTCACAAATCTTTGCATATCACGTGCACTCTCTGCATTCTTGCATCTTTGAATTTCTCATAAATGTATAAAGGTCCGCGGTTCAGTAACAAACCTTCAAAGATATTTCTAGGAAGCTGTTTAAGTGTTCTTTTCAAAAGTGTTAAACAGTCTTTAAAAAAAAAAAAAAAAAAAAAAAAACAGAGAAAAAGAAAGGAAAAAAAAAAAGGTTTTCTCGATGCAAGGAAGCGTTCGAGGACTCTGCCGAACGATCTGCCAGCGATTCGAATATGAGAAAATGGTATGCAGACGTGAAAAGACCTCCAAACTAATTTATGTTAATCGGCAGACCGTAAGAGAATGAAACGGCCACGTGAGAACGGTCGAAAGAAATTCGCTGTCGTCGATGGAATTTTTTTTTTTTCTTTTTAAATGCAAAATGATAATACGTAGTAAAAGACGAGACGTTTTATTTATATTATAATCGTATGCAAATGATACGTATTAAATGCAAACTGAGCAATTCGCTATTTAAAATAGACGTGAGCACAATTCGTTTTGTGTAACCTGCTGTTTCCCTCCATCTTTGTATGATTAATTTACTGGAATAAATTAATGCCATAGGCTCACGTCCAGGAAAGAAAAAATGGCTCCTTTTTTGCGAT